CCTGTGTGAAACATGTAGTGAGTTCCTTTGAGCGGGAATAGATATGACAGCCAGAGGCCTCGAGCAGAGTTAGGTGGACTGTGTTTGTGTGCGTGCCTGTCTTGTGTGTTTTAGCTAAAGTGATCTGTAATTGTATGTTCTCTGGCACAGTGATGGATAATCAATAGTTCTGTCTGTCTCTGTGGATGTGTGGTGAGGGCCAGAGTGGAGAGTTAGAAAATAAAAGTCATCCTGTCCGCAGTCCTGGACCTTCCTTTTTTTCTTCTTTACACCACTGCCTAAAGAGAGGAAGCCAAGGTCGGCCTGGCATTTCTTATACCAGCTGTTGTTGTTCTCTGCTCTGTGTTCTCAGGGTGCAGATAGACTACAGTGACTAGCAGAATCATAAGAGAAATGTCAGCTCCGCCTGTGTTACGCTGTGCATTATGAGCCATAATTGCCCTGCATTTTAAATCCCAAAATTCAGCCGCCATCCACATGGCCACATATACAGACACTCTGCAGCTTTATTCTGATCCACTGGCCTAACAGCAGACAGAGATTATTCAGATGTGTGGATGTGTGAGTCCTCATGCTGGCATTGTGAGTCACATTCACGTATGCATGAGCATGCCGGCATTCGCAAACACACACATGCCGATTTTTTTGGCATTTCCCTTGTTTATGTCCTGATGAGAGTTGGTTTGTTGTTATCTTCAATCAGTCTGCGTTGTGGATGTCCATTGTTAACTCCCATTTCCTCTTCTGCATGTTCCCATGACACTGATAGTTTTTGAGAGGTGAACCTCAGCCGCAGCCTCTGTGACAGTGTCTCATGTCAGAGTGGGTAATAGACTGCAATGCATTATGGGAAAAGCCCCTGGGGTCCTGGGTTTTATATTTATTTTTAAAGCTGCAGCCAGATTCTCCCCACTCCACCCCTGTGCTCTTTCAAAATGGAGTAATTTCATGGCTCATTCCTGGGGTTAAGACCGGGGATGGTGGAGTGGAAGAGTTGTAAACAGCCCCTTGCTTTACCACCAACATACTATAGGACCAACAAATCTGGATCAGTGGTAGATGCACTAGACAGAGTGGGATTTGGCAGCATTGGTCTGTTCAATGCTATATTTAGGACTACAGGTTTAATGTGTCACACAGGCATAAAATCAATGCATGAAGTTTCACCCCTTGCAAATTATAGAGGAATGAGGTTGCCTGTGATTTTTTTTCTCTCCTCTTTCATATAAAACTTGGACTGTAAATAGAAATATGTATCTTTTGAGTTGAAAAGTTGAAGTTGAAGCCAATATCACACACTGCTGAAGTGCACCATGGCACCCTCTCGGGACGGCTGAAATAAAGTGGATTAGCCAGACCACTTGCCTCATCCTTCATTGTTTGCCTCATCCTTCATGCGAGAGGACACACACACACATGCGCCCTGAAGTTGATGCCAAGGTTAAGCAAAAATCAAACTTCTCCAAAAAGCCTACACAGCAAAATTGTCCACACGGACTAATTTAGATGCTCGCTTTTGGAGTCAAATGAGTTATGTCCAGTGATGGCATGTTAATCTACTGTGGGATTTAGCTTGGAACGACCTTCCAGGATGCCGTACCCAACAGCTTAATTACCTTTTCAAAAGGGAATACCTCCGAGATTTAGCAGCCACTCTGCACAGCAGATATGCTGCTCAGTGAAGAGGAGGTGATATGAGGTTACACTTCACTGGGCTGAGTCATTTTGACCTACCTACCCTCTGCACACACACTGACGCACACACAAACACCTGTCTGACACTTTGCCCTTGATTTTTGCACCTCTACCACCAGCAGTTCTCTCTCTTTCATTCTTTTCTCTGCATGTGAGGCTGAAGTTACAGATTCCCAAGCTTAAAAAATGCTACTACAACGTATCTTCTCATTTCCTTTTTATTTGCTGACTGTAACGCAGAAACACATATCATGCTTTTCACTTTTCATCCTGCCTCCTTCCATCCACCCTTCATCATTCCTCATCTCCTCCCCCTCCACCCCCCCTCAACTGGAGGTGATAAAAGTCACCGGAAAGGGCGGCGAGAGATAATACACCAGTTAGTGACAAATAGGACGGCGGAGAATTGGTGGTTGTCTAGGCTGATCAAATGCATGTTGAGACAGACAAGAAGAGGTGACAGATAACTCTTCCTGCTGAGTGGTAAAGATGGTAATCACTCCAGAACGCAAAGATCCATTTAAAGACACTGAGCATTAACACAGCTAGATACCCAGCTAAATCCTCTCACTCAGTCTCGTTTAGAATATAATGCATTTTTTTAAGCTCTGTGACTCCCTGCAACCAGTAGAGGCATACTTTCCAATGTCATTTTAAAAGAGACCTCAGTTGGACGATATGGATATTTAATCGCTTTTGGCTGACTCTAAATTCTCAGCCATATCCTGTGCCAGGAGGTTAAGCCGACCGAGTCCATTGAAGCTTTCAAAATGAGCACTTTGTCTTTGTTTTATGACTGCTAGAGGTGGCAAGGTCTGGCGACGTGGCAGAGATTGAGATTTCAGTGGAACTGGGAAGTCGTGATGCTGCATTTGTTCATCGACATAGTGCCGTTGATAAAGTGTAGGGTGGTCTCTGTCTAATGATTAGAAAGGGCTGTCTTTCACAGCTTGTGAAATGAAGTTGTTTGGTGGTCTATTAACGTGGTTCCCCGAGCTCTTTTACCTTGCTACAGTTTGATCAGTTTACTGCCAGTGTGCACTGATCTAGTGCTAATTTACAGCACCGGACTTTCTTGTCTGCCTTACTCTTGCTGTTGCGCTTTCTCTTGTCTCTTTCTGTGAGATTGGCAGGTCTTTAGGGTTGCAAGGCGCTTAGCTTCCCACGTTCCTTCCTCCTGTCTCCTCCCCCTCAGTCTGACTGGCAGTAATTACACTGGGGCTGGGCCTGGTTTGTCTCGACAACCCCAAAGACCTGACAACCAGACAGAGATAGAGAAACGCTAAGAGAGAGAGAGAGAGCGGGGGGAGAAAGACAAGCAAGCGAGAACAAGAAAAATACTGCTGCATACGAAGAAGATACAAAAGTAGTAACATATAGAAATGGGGGAAAGAGGTATATGAAGGGAGAGAGGCAGAAAAGGTTATACATCAGTGATTCCTGACAGGCATTTCCTTCTTTTCATCACCAATCTCTGTTTTATTCTTCCATCATGGCTGTGGGAACCTTATATTCATCAATGCTCACTTGAACAAACTCCTGGGTTGTGAAAAAGTGTCCCACCCACCCCCCATCCCACTCATCTACTGCAACAAGACGCATGATGGTGTCATTGGTCCTTTGTCCAATTCTAAAGTACAAATGAACCAGGAAGGCTTTTTTCCCTTGTTGGTGGAAGGAATGGCAGGTTTTACTTTTTGTTGTTTTGTTTTTTGACAGCATACATTTTAGTTGTATGTTCACGCCTATTCCTTTTTGAGTTAAAGGTATGGGAAGATGGGGCATGACTACAGGGCCAAATATCACATAAAGAAAGCAGCATAAATTAAAGGGACAAATGGATGAACCAGTTGGAAAGACCTTATACAACTTTACATACCCAGTTCAAATAAATCCAATCTTTTTTTTTTATCTGGTCCCCATTCAGGGGGGAGGAAAAGAAATTCAGAAGTAATTGGAAGGAAATGAAATAAGGCTTTTCTCAAAGACATAGTTCTGTTGTAAAGAGTCTTTTTTTCATATTTAAAAGTAATGAATGCAACATTTATTACGCCTTATTCTACTTATTATGCCTTGTTCTACTTTTAGCTCTATCATCAGTAATTCTGTCTCTCTCTCTCAATGACTGCGTCTACATGCACGCACAAAAGCGGGGATTTGAAGGAGAAATCCAGTTAACGTAGGAAATTGGAGAACACTTTACATGCACTGCAACCCTGCATCTACTTGCAGCTTGTTAGTAATGATTTCCCCTCTAGCATATTTCTGAACCCTTTGAGTGCAACTACAATTTATTTATTCTAGGTTCAGTTATGGTTGGACTTAAGATTTAATTATTTTTGCTTCAACGATGTAGTATGAGTAATGTGAGTAATGATCTTTTCTTTCATCCCTCCTCAGCAACAGTGTTACTTTCTGTGCCTAGAGTCACATGTAAAAGCCTGGTTAAGTGCATTGGTGATACACCAAATATCAGGTTTCTCTGGCCCAAATCTAGCTCTGTGTTAACCAGATTTCTCCTAAACCCCTGAGGTGGTTTCTTGTTTACATGGCATTTTATTAACGGGTTACTGCAGAAACCTGACAATAACCAGGTTAATTAAATGTCTCTCTGTTTTTCTTTCTTTCATGCATTCCCTTGCTCGACTTCCACTGTCTCCTTTCTGTTGTGTCTGGCAGATATGCAGTCAAATCCTCTTGTATCATTCACATTACCATTAAATTAGTGTCCAGGTAAGGGGAGCAATGGAAGAATTTGTCCACTGCAGAATAAACTTCAACTTGAACTGCAGAAGACGCCCTGTGGCTCTTACAGAACTGTTCTCTGACCCTGAATTGACAACTTGTCTGCTTGGCTGTCTCACAGCTAACACTTAGTCCTGGGAGGAAAAGGACAGAAGGATAGACAGAGAGAGAAGAAAAAAAATCAAATATTCATGATGAAGGATTTAAATAATCATGGACTAATCTAGCAAGAGAGACACAATTCCAAAAATCATGCTCTGCTTCTGTGTATAATGCACTCACCACCATGCACCACCATCACCAATACAGCCATCTGTTTGTAGCTGTATGGGAGTCAGTACACAAAGCATGTAATCTGGAGTGAATGCAGCCTGTTAAGCTCTTAGAGGATTATCAATTATTTATTTGTTTTTTTTTGTTCCTGATACTCAGACAATGTGTGTGCAAACTCCTTGAACAAAGACAATACTAAGTGAGTGCTTATCACTGTTCCTTCTTCTCCCCCCTGCTTGTCTCTTTCTGTTTCTCTCACCTCTTCTTCTTCTTTTCTCTCCTCTCAGCGGCGTCCAGCTTCAGTTTTTGCCGTGCCTCCCTGGAGCACACGGTGTCTGCTGAGGAGCTGAGCTACCAGCTGCCGCGTCGCGCCGGAGGCAGCAACCTAACCTGGCATGACGGCCGCGGCCAGAAGACAGCGCACACACGCACCGTCAAACTACTGCAGCAGCCCGGCACAGAGGGCATTCAGGTATAAAGATGTCCACACAAACTGACCTGAGGCAGTGTGGAGGAGTGTTTTCACTTTATGTGAAATGTGTTGTTGCTTACAAAAACACATTTCCAGATCGCTAAAATACATCATTCAGGCAATGAGGGACAGCTCAAAATTGGGACCATTGCAAACATGTCAAAGAAAGGCTTCACAGGCCCAAGCTGTAGCCTACTTGGTTTCACTAGTGAAGCAATCTGCTGTGAGGCTGCAGGTTGTGCATAATCTGTCACTGATTTCAGATTTTTCAAAAGGAATAAATTCCAGCCACTGGGCAATCACAGCAACAGAAAGGAAAACATAGGCTACCTAATTTTTCACTCCAATCACATTTTACAGTAGCTTGGGATCAGTTCAGCGAATTGCACATTCAGTTTATTTTATTTCCTTTATTTCTTCACATTATGATATCACATTATGATATAACAAAGCCTACCAGGCAATATAAATGTAGACCATCTCTGGCTCATTATTTCAGGTTACAACATAAATTATTTTATGTTGCAACATAAGTTATAATGAATATTACGGTTCACTTGAACGGTTGATATGATGTGACTGATATATGATTTTGTACTAAATTGCACAGCCACAGTGGTAAGTGAAATATTTTGATGAAGCAGTTGAATTTTTTTTAAAGTAGCTTAGTTAAGAAAACATTATTTCCCTTGAGGGGGAGCTTTGTCGAAATTTAATATCGTCCTGTATGAATTAACTGGTAGTTCATAAAGGCTTTGGATTTTCAAAGCAGTCTCTTTTAACCATATGAGAGAGAGAGCGGTGTTATGAAGCTGTCCTGACTTGGGTGGGGGGAAACCCATACTGTGGCAGATAATCTGTTATCATCAGAGAGACAAGAGAGAACATTTGTGCATCAGCGTCGGTGCTGCATCTCTAGCTGTCAAATCTCAGCGGTAAAAGGAAGTCTAATTGTTTTATCTTGTACATGATTTTGGCTGATGTCACCTGAGCCTGTGGTAGATACCGCCAGAGAGAAACTGGTTATGTAACAGAGGAGTGGTAAGAGAACAAGTCCCTCATTACTGCAGAAAATAGACTCTTATTAATATACAGTTAATACCATCCGTCCTACATGTCTAAAAACATTTCATTTAGTTATGTTTTCCCCAAAGCTCAGCAACAGCTTTAATAGAACTGACTGGTGTAAACACCGGATATGAAAGTAATTTCGATGCCTACTTGGTAGGCTCAATGTCTCAGCAGCAGTGTAAGAATATAGCAGCCTGAGCATCATTTACTTCCACACATCGCTCCTGTGCAAAATTGAATCCCATCTGTGCAGCACCAGAGAGAGGCAAAACAAAGTGGAAAAAGGATCTATTTTAAGGCATTCTGCATGTGTTTGACCTAAAACAGCATATGACACAGCAGCCTCACATGAAAGAGAGCAGATAGCCCAGTAGAGGTCATTTGTTAAGTCTCCCCACTGCCGTTAGGAAAGTTTGCCACAGTGAGGCTGTAAGATGTACATATGTGCTGCAAGAGTGCTCAATAATTCATAAAAGAGTGCCCCCTCAGCTATAAAAGGCTTAATAAAAGACGAGTGGGAGGCTGTTTCCATGTGATTACACAGAAACTGGATAATTAAACCTACTCTATACCATGAGAAGTAAGGCTTATCATTTCCTTGTGGCAACAAGCCCCTTTTTACATTATTCAACAACTGAGAGAGCAGTCCAGCTCACCCTGATCCGTGTATCTATGCAGTCACAAAATCTTTCCGTCATTTTTCTGTCATTTGCGCATCTTTAATTTTAATAATATGTGTTCATGGGCAAGTGAGTGTGTGTGTGTGTGTGCGTGTGTGTGTGTGTGTGTGTATTCGGGTTGGGGATTGGTGTTTGTGTGTCCAGTTCTCACTGGAGTGATGATTAGATTATTCTCTATTACACTGGTTGTGCACACATCAGCTGTAATGAGGGAGTCAGTAAAGTGAAACACAGCTCAGCTTCTTTATACAAGGTGGAACCTGGGGAATCTTCCTTTTTTGTTTAACAAAGCTAATATAACACATTGTGCACTCCTATGCAAACTCCTGTGCACATGCACACACAAACATATTAATGCAGACCAGACAGTCAGGAGAGACAAGAAATAGTAACAGCAGGGAAGACAGAAAACTTTTTAAGTTAAGTTCTTTGTTTGTCATTATTTTGGTCCTGATGACAAGGCGCAGCTCCCGAATGGAGTCTGAGGTTTTAGGGTTTTTTTTCTTCTGTGACTAGTAATGTAGTAAATGTATGTGCTTAGTTAGAACCAGTTGTACTGGTAATAACAAAATGTGTACATGTATGCACATAAATCAGAGACAATCACACACATCACTAGAAAATTAAATCTTCTATAATTTGTAGGGATGACAGTAAGAGCATTGTCTTATACGTTGGTCCCGAGTCTTCTGTAGGTGTTTGAATGTGTTGAGATCTGGTGACTGTAAGGGCTGTAACATTTTAGTGACATAATTTCCATACTCACCAAACCATTCAGTGAGCCTTTGTGCACAGAAGCATCTGTATTTGATATGTTTCTCCATTATTTTATGCAGTTTGTTCCTTAATTTGTCCATTGTCTGAACGTACACATGTATACACCCATATAAAACCTAGATATATCAGTGCTGCCACAAGGAAGGAATGAACCCACTGGTCACGACTCCAGGAGGCACGAGTGACGAGAGTTTATTAGCTTACACTTGGTAATTCAAAGGCTGGTAACTTGGTCAGAAGGGTGATCACACACAGGAGGGAGGCAGACAGGAACCAGGTGAAAGGGTGGACCTGAAATGAAACACAATGTGAGCAAAGAAGCACCAACAAAAAGCACAAGCACAACAGACAACCGAAAACATGACTTTAAGTGCCAGAGCTGGGCATGACAAGATATATATTGGTGTTCATGCCTGCACCAGCATGGCTGTCATTACTGTAGATGGCCCCAGCATATTTCTGCAGTGCTGACCAAGTTTCGGGACACATAAGTGGACGCAGATGTATTCCCAAAGTGCGTGGACATTTTTTTTTTCTCATGCGCAATGTAATATTCAACATTTAGCACTTGTTTTACTTAAAACAAGAAAGAAAAAATACCAACAAGTTAGGATAATTCCATGTAGTCCCTATACAGTGGTCACTTTCCGGATAATTTTCTTAAAACAAGACAGATCGCTGCACTAGAAGGTGAAGAAAATGACACTTAAAACAAGTTAATCTGCACTGTAAACAGGCAAAATAATGTCAACCCACACTGGCAGTCACCAATGAAAGGTTAAATGATTTGTTAAAATACAGGTTATCTCATTTGTGTTGTGAAATTGCTGCAGGCAGACCTGTATGCACACCTATCTTCTAATAGGATTTTTCCAAATAATGACTCATTGTGTAGTTGGCGCACCCTCTGTGCCATCCTTGAATTGGTTGTTTGGGTAGCCAGATGGGGTGAGGGGAGGGGCGCGGGGGTGACTCATTTTGCTGTCTGACACACAGCTTGTGGGTGAACCTTTAGATGAGACTGGGGAATAGGTGGAATAACAGAGACACAATTCAGGAAGTATCAGCAGCCACTGTGCCTTTTATTCGCATGTCAGAAGCCTGTTACGGGTAGTAAGGCCCAAATTCACTAATTTGCCATTCTGCGTGTGCGAACGAGAAAGATCGGTCTGTGATTATTTTCCCCTCCTCATTACTGAACACAGTGGCTGACCTTCTCAGCTGACACCAACACAAAGCGGTGAACTAACAGAAAGAAAATGTAAAAATATACTACACAAAACAATAACTTTGACCACTCCTTGTAAGAAAATAAAGATAAACCCTGGATTTTTAGGGTGGTCGTTTCCAGTTGAGCTCATTATTTTAGCCACCAACTGGATTAATATATGGATGAATTCACCATTAGATACTGTTGTTGTTATGGACCTGTTCATCTGCGTTGGTGATGCAAATTGAACAATGCAGAGTGAGTCACACTTATCTTTTCTGTTGTTAGCAGTGTTTGTCTGGCTGTCCGTCTGGCTGTCGGTCAGTCCATCACTTTTGGACCGACCTTCCTGGTCTCCAGAGGTTGAATCATAATGACTATGATGATCCCTGACTTTTGGAGAGGCTGTCACTGATTTCAATAGAACCCATGATACTGTGCTCACCAGAAAAATAACAGTGTGGGTGGTTTGTTAAAAACCTTAAAACAACTTTTTTTTTTCTGACGAAAATAATGTCACGTAAATAATGATTGCCCTCCCTCAGAAGGAAAGTCGGGAAATAGCGTTATGTTTTTATACCACCACAAAACCTAACTTAAAAAGAAGGGAGGTTGCAACAGGCAGCCCTGTTTTTTTGTTGGTTTCCTGTAAAACTAAAGTATTTTTATATGCTTAAACCTAACCAAACTTTTACCCTAAAGAAGGCAGATTAGAAAATCTTCATATGATTTCTTATGAGGTCAATGATGCCTGTGGTTGTGATGATGCAGTAGTGAACAGAGTTTTGAAAGACAGAGACATGGAGAGATAAATAAGAGTGCTGCTGAGCAGTGAGGCAGAAATGCTTAGCCTATATTGTCCTTGTACTGCCACTTAGTGATGTGTTGCTCTGTCCAAGACACATGTTTGACTCGTGCTAAATAGAGAGCTTTGTGAAAATCCCATCTGGCCCTTTGTCCTCCCACTGAGAGCCCACTCACATTCGCATGAGTGCAAGACATTTACAAACTCCGAGTCCTGAGGACAACCAAAGGCAGAGTTGTGCGAAGCTAACGGCGGCTGACAGTTCACACACCCGCACACGCTCTCTTCCATGGGAACAGTCAAGTAAGCTCACACGTAAACACTTTCAGAATCACAATGACACACTCAAACACACATATGCGCCAGGCTAAACTGAGGAGTGGGAGACACAAGGGTGCTAAATGATGCAACAGAAACTGCCAGGGACTAGGGGGAGGATTCAGTGTTACTGAGAGGA